TGGATGTTTATTTCCTTGCTAAATTAAATTGGACTTATTTTATTGCTCGAAGTCAGAAAAGCTTCCCTCTTTGCCCTTTAAACTTTAGAGGTTGGGCATAAATTAAACCAAGTGGATGAATTCAAATTTTTTCAGCAATTCGGATTTTATTCCCCCACTAGACGTTAACAAGCATTGACTATCCAAACATTTCATCTCTTCATTTAACTAATGAAATAACAAGATTTGTGGCACTAGTATACTCGATAATTATGAATAGCCCCAATGTAATCACTATATATATATACACACACACCAATCATTGCAAAGGTATAACTTTCCTAACTTAAATCTCACTCTCGTGGCTTACGAGGAGCCGGTAAATCTCCCTATGAGCTCATGTAGCACGGGGGGGGGGGGGGGAGCGGGGGGGGGGGGGGGGAATCGTTGTGACTCTTGCGACGAGGTGGGTAATCCCTGAAGCGCTCATGTAGCTTGAGGGGGATAAAATAAATACCCATACATGGGGAAACAACTGTGTTATTTTCAACAGATACTTGAGACCCTTAAACACACATGAAGCATAGCGGGGATTGAAGAAAATGCAACCGCGATGTCTACAGGCATCTACCTGAAGTGCCCATATGGCGTGGAGGGGAAGGCTAGTCTTCCAAAATTTCCCCTAAACGAGAGAGATGCTAGGAGGCTGCCGAAATTTGGACTGAAGATTCAAGGACTTGGACAAAAAGAAGAGGACCTGGACTAGAACTCAAACTTGTGAATATTTGAGTAAGATTGAACTTGAATTGAACAAAGAATTCAAATTGAAAATAAATTAAATTTGTGCCTAAACAAATGATAAGGATCAACAAAAGACTTAAATCAAATGAACTAAATGTTGTGGACATAAGCTCAAATTGGACTCATACTTGAACTTTACAAGCTTTGAACTTGAACAAATGATCATGAATTGAACTCAAATGAGTATCAAATGATGACATCAAAATCAAACAAAGTTGGATATAAAAGAATAACACTAAAATGAATTCCATTTAAGAATGAAAATTGCAATCAAATGGCAAGTGGTCAAATGATGAACTCATAAGGGATTTATGATATCCAAGCATTAAGTGACAATCATAATTACTCAAACAAGTATCAAGTGAATAATGGCAAGGGGCCTAAGTGAATAAATGCAAAAGATATAAATCTTGAACTTGTGCATGAACCTAACTTGATTCAATTCAAACCACATGACAATGAGATTGAACTTGCATGGATCTTATGGAACATAGCATCATGCACAGGATGAATATGTAATTAACATCACAATGAGCTTCTAATTATATGTGAACTATTGGACACAAGGCAAGTGACGAATAGAGAACTCGCAAGCGTGGTTTGATGGCAAGTAATATAAGAACAATAAACTCATGCAGAGCTTGATTTAAATAATAATATCAAAGCTCTAATGGAATGATAAGTTGTCACTTTAATTTAAAAGCAAAGTGCTAGTTCAAATCTCATGCAAACAAGCAAAGACTAATTGAAAAATGCAATAATATGACTGATATAAAAAATAAGATTTCAATAAGAAATCAAGGGATCATCATTTCAATTAAAATGAAAATGTTATTAAGCAAATCTATCATGCACAATCTAAGTCATTTTCATATGACATAGAATGCTTGCAACTTGAACATGGAGGACTTGGAATTCAACATAATTTGATTAAAAGGATTGCATTCAAATGAACATCACATAAGCAAATACAACTCAAGGAGTGCATACTACATACACAAAAGATGTACGATAAATGTGCCACTATGTAGTTAACCTTGGTATACAATCAAGTGTATCAAAGCTTGCAAGTAAAGAGCAAGAAGGTTGTGAGAGATTTGACTTGACTACAAAGCTATGATATAGAGACCTTTTGATCTTATGATAATTTACTTGTAATGTTAGACATGACTCATCCCCAAACAACAATCAACAGCAATTGCAATGTATGTGGCAACGTGATTACGAGCAACAATACTAGATTATGAAGAATTTATAATGAACAAGTCTTAAAATAAAAAATGAGCTTACAAGTTAACATGCCTAACTTTTATAAGTATAAATCACTTATAAATGATGATGAGATTCCATGTAATTAGATGATTTGGAATAATTGTAATAAGGCCGAGGATGAATGAAAGAAGTTCATTATAAGTGAAATAACATATTTGCAAGTGATGATCATCAACAAACAGTGAATAATATGGTATTCTAAAGCCAATGACGGCTGATATACAAGCACCTGTAATAATCCCCACATATATTCAAATTCATATAATAGAATGCAATAATTCTCCAATCAACACACATCGAGAAGACTGAGAATGAACGCAATAACATCTTGCAACCAATCACCACTCAACATAAAGTAAGTACACCGGTCTTCTACAAATAGAGGTGGATAATATAAAATAAATATAACTTCCTATGAGCCGCTGTAAAAGACTCATCAAATGTCTAAAATACCCCCATAAATATACCATAATTTGTATACACATAGGTACACATAAGGCATGCATAGCCAAATACTTGTATGGGCCCCGACGAGTGTATTGTGGTAACACATGTGACATCTAGGGATGTTGTGCAGGTCAATAAATAAACTCAAGTTTAAGCCCGATCCTTCTATACAAGTAGATAGAAGTCAACACGGCTCGAACCATTAAATAAATATACGATCGCATGGTAGATCCACTACAGAAAAATCACTCATTACCGATAGAATTTCTGGTGGAAGAAATTCTGGTTGATTTTTCTTTGATTTTCGACGGATTATTTATATATATTTCTAACAATTTTTCAAGCAAAAATTGCTTTGGACATATGACATCTCCACCAAACAAAACTTCATTATGAGGGCAACATTACTTTGGACAATTTGTGATTTTCCTACGTAGGGTATGCTCTCAGATTGGAACACTTCTGAAAAATTATCTTGTCCTCTTTGTATGGATATACGAAGTCATTCACTTTAAAGCACGAAGGGAAAAACACTTAGTTCGGCTGTCATCACATGTTCTTACCTGCAGATCATCCTTTCAATCGACATAAGGATGGTTTTGTCAAAAATAAAATGGTTGTGTCACTGTCTCCTCCTAAATTTACTAGTGAAGAAGTATTTGAAAGAGTAAAATCAATGCCCACAATAGTGGATTCTCTAATATTAGCTGATAACAAATTACCAGGGTATGATGTCAATCACAATTGGACTAAGAAAAATATTTTTTGGTCATTACCATATTGGAGGACAAACTTGATCAGACATAACTTAGACATGATGCATATATAGAAAAATGTCTTTGATAATATACTCAATACAGTTATGATCATCAAAGATAAATCCAAAGACAACATAAAAGCAAGAATGGACTTAAAGGAGATTTGTAGGAGGAAAACATTAGAATTGAGCGATGCTGGAAATGGAAGATTTTTAAAACCAAATGCTCCATACACTTTGAGTTTAGAGTAGAGTCGATCTGTTTGTGAATGGGTGAAGAGTTTACAGTCATGACTCTTCATACAATGCAATGTCTGCTACCAATTGCCTTTAGTTATCTGCCGGATCAAATTTCAAAGCCCTTGATTGAGCTTAGTATCTTATTCAAAGATTTATGCTCTTCAAAGTTTAATACAGAGTCCCTAATTCTTATGGAGAAGAATATCCTATTTATTCTGTGTAAACTTGAGAAGATATTTCCTCCAGGCTTCTTGGACTCTATGGAGCATCTGCCCGTGCATTTGCTATATGAAGCTAGAGTTGGTGGATCTGTTCAGTATCGATGGATGAATCCTTTTGAGAGGTATTTAAATAAACTTAAGAAGACAACTAAGAACAAAGCACATCCTGAAGGCTCAATATGTGAAGCATATTTAATGTATGAGACAACTCAATTTTGCTCGTATTACTTTGAAACAACATCAAAGTCAAGTCATAGCACTGCACCTGAAAATGTGGTTCATTCTTCAAATTTATCTATATTCAATGGCAGTGGTGAACCGATAGGCACTAGTACCATGCGTTATTTGACTGATAAGGAGATGCGAGTTGCCACTTTATATGTCTTGCTTAATTATGATGAAGTTGAGCCATATCTCGAATAAGTATGAATAAGCTTGCTCATAAATTTGTTAATCATACTTAAATTCAATCTAAACCTTAATGTTTACAGGAGTTTCATTGATGGATTGAATACAATAGAAGAAGTAGAAGTCCAAAAGATAGTGGAAACAAAATTCCCAATTTGGTTTAAAAATACATAAAATGGCTATTCATCTCTTTAATTATTACTTATTAAGCATGCTACTGACATATTTTACGTACTAACTATAGGTTCACACTCAAGGAAGCAATTTGCAATATCATGGGTTAGTTGATCTAACTTGGGGACCTAATAGAGATGTGAAGTATTTTCAAATTTTTTTAGTTAATAGTTACAAATTCCAAACAAAATCTTGGTGTGACGATAAAAAAATAGATAATGCTAGTGTATGTGTTAGAGAGAATACCCATACAGGTGATGATTCTGAGTATTACGTGGTATTGCAAGAAATATTAAGGTTGGAATATCCTGGTGTTGGGAATAGTGTTTATCTATTCAATTGTGAGTGGTTTGATCCAGTACAGAATAGAGGTACAAGAAAACATCCATTGTACAATAATATAGAAGTTAAGCGAGGTAGAAAATATTCAAAGTTTGACCCATTCATTATTGCTAGTCAGGCAAGTCAAGTCTATTTTGCAAATTATCCGAGTAGAGTACGAGGCAAGCAAGATTGGCTCATAGTTTTGAAGACCAAACCCAGGGGGGTTATTGAGAAGACTACTTTAATACCACCAGCACATCAAGAAGAGTTTATGTCAAATATAAAAGATGTTACTAACTATGTGGACGATCAAATTATACCTACTGAGAGTGAGTTGGAGTTAGAAGAAGTGGATTTAAACGTATAGGAGATTCATGATGAGTCTGATAGTGGTGCACAAGTTTCATCGTATGAAAGTGAATCAGCACAAGGTAATTGATATTTGTCAAATAAATAATTTTTTTAATTGCTGTGTTATTATATATTTATAATTTTTTTATTCTTGCATTATTTTAATTGCTGTGCTATTTTTTATTCTTTTTTTTTTGTCATAATTCATATTGCTAATATTTTTTAAATTTTTATGTAGATGGCTTCAGGTGATGATCGTAAAAGACGAATATTAAAGAATATATTTGGTAGGCGCAACAAGAAGATTATTGTTACCTCATACAACAGGTCTGTATGTATTGAGGGTACCTCTTCATCTCAGCCAGCTACTCAGAGTCAGCCTAGTCTGCCCATACTTGCTCCTGCAGCTATTACTCAGAGTCAGCCTAGCCCACAGTTCTACTCACCAGACCCACACTTACCTTCATCGGACCTTACGCAGACTACTCCTTTCTACCCCTACTTCCCACCACCACCTCATGGTGTCTATCCTACATATCCACCATATTCATATCCGTCATATGTCCCACCACCTGCTCAGCCCTCTACAACACCACCTCAGCCCGCTACAGCACCACCTCAGCCCGCTACAGAACCACCTCAGCCCGCTGCAGCAGAGCAGGCGACAGAGGGTCGCATATTGATTGAACCTGACGGTGACACGTAAGTACTAATTTTATTTTAACCAGCAAATAAAATTGAATTAATTTTTCTAACAAGTAATATATTTCTCTCAGGTTTTATCCGTCAAAGGAGCCAATGCATAAAATATGAGATATAATACAGACCAGATATGATGCTCCTCATATTTCTTGGAAGAAAATCCTGAAAGAAGTACGGAACATGTGGTTTAGAGAGTTTGAAATTTGTAATTATATAATTTTTTTGTATTATATGTAATTTACATAAGCTAACAAATTTATTTATTTATTATTGTATATGTTTAAATGCAGAAAGATTTTTGTTTGTTGCCACAACATAATGATAAAGTCAGAAAGAATTTTGAGAAGCGTGGCTCGACTCACATGCGAGACATGTTTACTGATATTAAAAAGGCAGGCCAACGACCACTCTGGATTGGTGAGGGTATATGGGCAGAGTTGAGCACTGCTTGGGGTAGCACATATTATACTAAGAGGAGGGATCAGAATAGACAGAATAGAGCTTCTGATGTTGGGGGCTTGGGTAGTTCCCTTCATATAGGGGGTTCTATTCCTCATACTGAGCATAGAAGATGTTTGGTAAGACAATTTAAAATATATAATAATTTTCTTTAATTAGAATTACTAACATATATTTTTCACAGAAAAGGTGTTGGGTAAAGAACCGACTCATGCTGAATTACATAATCATACCCATAAGCGGCAGGAGGACCAGCAATGGGTTGACGAGCGAGCGAGGAAAGCTTATGTAAGTATGTAATTTCATTTTTGTGTTGTTATGTATAAAATACTTAAATTTTTATTAACTTTCATAGGAGAAGTGCACACGGCTTCGAGAAAGTCAGGCTGTAGCAGGTGAAGGTTCTTCTGTTGGATCAGCAGAATATTCTAACTACCGCACTTAGCAGCAAGCGGTGGGAGGAATGCAGCACAACAGAGTATACAAGTTAGGCTCGCAAGCTTATGCATATGAAGGGCAGACATCTAGTGGCTCCAGTTTTTCATCTAGTACACATGACTCTTTATATACCCAACAGATAGTTGTCCTCACAACCGAGCTAGAACAGGTAAGAAAAACATAAACTGATTGGCAGATACAAATGCAGCAGTAGCAGATGCATATACAGTAACAACAAGCTCAAATGTTAGAAGAAATGCGAAAGAGGAGGGAGCAACTGAGTAGCGGGAGGAGTACAACATCAGCTGAGGAAGAAACTGAATCAGAGTATATGTTATTTATCTATTTTACTGATGTGGACATATATTTCTATATGTTTTATGTCATGTTTATATATTTGTTATTTGAACATCTTTGTTTCTCTTTATTGTGTACATGTTTAGTTAATTATTGTTTGGACATATTTGATTATGTAATTGATGATGTTCCTGATTAGAATTTGAAGTTAAATATAAATTGTGTTGATGTAAATTGTGTTATATGTGTTCTTTTATGCAGATATTTTTTGTGAAAATCAATTTTTAAAAAAAGGAAGCTTTTTTTCCTTCTGCTCCAGGTTTCCGGCGGAACTTTCGCCAGACACTCTGTCGGTACGACGATATGATATTTCCGGAGGATATTATCCGACGGTTATGAATCGTCTTATCAGCGACGGAATATCCACCAGAACATCCGGCGGAATAAACGTCGAAAAATGAAATTTGTGCGACGGTGAGATTTACCTATTTTCCGATGAAAATACCGCTGGAAACATGTATCCGGCTCAATTTGTGCGCAGGCAAAAATTTCTGACCCACGATAATCTGGCGGAGGGTTTTTCGACGGAAATCCGCCGGAAAGAAAAAATTTCCGACGCATTTTCATTGATATCAATGGATCTAGTCTGCCGGTATAAGCTTGTTTTCCTGTAGTGTATTGCATGTGAATTTTACTATTTCTACACTAATTTAATGATCATATGAATATAACTGCTATGATTTGATCCCTGACATACATATTGCTCATTTATCGTGCTTTGAATTTAATTATAGGCTTTGATGACCTACTGTGCTTTTTAAGCTCAGTATATGTGGTTAAATAATTACAGGGCAGGGTAGAGGATCAAAAGTGTAAGGTTAGTCATAATTTCTTTAGGTTTAAGTTTTGTTTCTTTTAGTTAATACTCAGAATTTAATAGTTGCGATATGATTGCATAGATCTTGGGTAGTGTATATGATTTTTAAAAAATAATATATATATATGTACATTAATGTTTTGAATATATAATATATTTTATTGATTATTATCGATAGATAATATTAGATAGCTCTGGTTATTATTTATTAAAAGATAATAAATATTTTTTTCAAATTAGATACTGAGGCATCACACGACCAAATTGTTTCTCCTCCTCCTTAGCTAACATTTGAGTATTTATTATTTTTCTCCATGCAGAAAACTATTCTTCTTCTTCCAGATGTCTATAATATGAATTATTTTATGCAAAATTAATATTATCTTCTTCCACCATCAAGAAAGTGGCAACCTATAGCCCAACATGAACCAATTATGTTACCAAGAAATCCTCTCGATTTTTTTTAAGGCAAGGGGATTTATCTTGGGTGGTTTGTCCCATGAAACAGGATGATCTTGTATCCAACCTTTTTCTTACTATTGTCCACACCTTCTAGCCACCACCAGCAAGCCAAATCCTTCTTCCGCAGTACAGAAATTATCCAACCAGCAACAAATAAGATCCTTCCATCGTAGTAACTAAGATAGAAGCTGCCAACATAGTTCAACCACCATGAATAATAGAATTTTTGTTCTTGGCCCAAAAATCAACAACTAAACAAAGTAAGATGATGCCTCACTAAAATCCACAAACACGAGTAGTGATTAAAGAACCACAAAGAGAAATGCAATAGATGCAATAAAGGCTAGCAAGATTGGAGCAAAAAGAAGGGGAGGAACATCAAGAAGAAGAATAACACATTCATCCTTTTTATCAATATCTTTTGAGTGATAAAGAGCAAGAAGATGACATCAGAACCATGTTAATTGAGAATTAGGGGATGATGGAGGAATCAAGATTGATCTACCTGATTTTTTATCAGTTCCCTTCTTCCTACGAAGATGTGTTTGAATTAAGGGCCACTACTTAAGTCTGCATCTGCAACCATGATCGAGTCCGTCTTCCATGGGTTTAAAGATTTATCATTGAAATCATCATCTATGTTAGTCTATGATGAGCCCGTGCACAATAAAGACATAGTCGTTGGAGTTTTGGGGGAAAGAGCTCCTCGGCAACCAAGTACCTTGACATGCTCGCATCTTTGGGATATGTTGCGGAAAGTGTTTTTCCTCCTCTGTACAAAGATATGTTGGAGAACCTTGGAAGGGGAGTGCCACATTCCAACAGTGCAGTGGAGATGCAACCATTGGAGAAGAAGGATAATGATGTGTATAGTTTCAAGGAGTTGTTATGGGGTTTTGGTGGGAGCAGCAAGCCACATAAGTGGCAAGAGCCAGTTCAAAACAACAAACCTGTACTGGTGATGATGCAGTCGTATTCTTGCAGACTTGTAAAAGATTAGCAAAACATTTTTGTAGAAATATGATGTTGTCCCAATTAATTTGTACCTTGCCCAGCGCATTCCCAAACAGATGAGCACATCAACAAGTTTCATTGACTTTAGTTTATGTTGTAGACTCTCCTAGATGGGGAGAATGGCACCGAGTAAATCTATTCGGACTGGTTCAGCCAACCAACCCCACCTCCTCTCTATTGATTATACGTTATTTCTTTTCGTTTACTGTAATTTATAGTTGTCTTTAATAATTCCCTCTAAAGGAACCCTTCAGGTAGCATTACTCAAAAAATAGAGGGCTATCTTCTCTCATGTAGGCAGATTTTGAGAAATAAATAATAAATTGTGTTTAGGCGCCATTTCCATGGGTACGTTATGTATCCTAAGTAGATCAAGTGGTATTGCCAATCCAAAAAGCTTGTTCTTCGGCATTGTTTGAGCTGTCGGATATGATCTTGCAGTACGTTCGTGTCTTGTCCGTCGCTTGTTTCTCCATCCCGTTTGGTTCCACCTAGCTATAGAAGCCATGACAAAGTGGTGGATTTGAATGACAAAGGGTGGCGCCTAATTATGAGAAGCTCAGCGAAAGCACCATTATTAATAATAAATCATAGAAAACAACATAAAACTCAGAAAAAAAAAAAGTTGAAAATGATAACGAACAAAATAAAATTAAAAAAGCGCCGAACTTGAATACTTAGAAATCTCATTCAAATTCGGCCAATTTACACCCCAAAATTTAGTGAGTTGTGGATAGCTTAGTTTGTAAATATTTCCCACCTAAGAAAACACATCCACGAGGCTTATTTCAAAATAAACTTTGAATATATTTTTACTGCCAGGAGGACTGCGCTCTACTTGTTTGGCAAGCAAAACTTTGGAGACAGTTTAGAGCGAGGAGGATTTAGTATCTCTCTTTCCTATTGAGAATTTAACACATCTCTGTTTTGGTCACCAAAGTTTATAACAAGTAATAAAATTATGATCTCCCTCACTCAACTCTATCTTTCTTTCTTTCTTTTTTTCAAAAAGTGAAATGCTTTTTCTAGTTCATGTGCTGCATGTACCAATAATTCACAGAAAACTTCATTTGCAAAGTCTGATTTCTGTATAACAACATGATTTATATCTTATTGATGGCTTAGATATTCAAATCTGGCTCATTAACAGAAGCCAAAGGACGGAATCTCTACTGTCAACCTGAATGAACATGAACCAATCTTTGTTGGCTGACATTTATTACTAATCTGAAAAGGCAAAAACATCAGAATGCTTCTGATCTATGAACAAAAGTTGAAAAATAGTAAGTTCCTCTCTCTATTGCAAGCATAGAAGCTATATATCTACAGTAAAACAAAGAATTTAATAGGATTATATAGCAATGCATAAATTTATGTATAGAATGCCAAATAGAGTTTCTGCTACCAAAATTTGAAATGAAATACTGTACATTATACTGAGATTAACATTAAACATCTCTGAAAAAAAAAACTGCTATTGAATTACGTTTAATTCATCGAAAATTTACTAAATCAGTTGATGAGAAAAATTCTCAGACCCATAGAGCTGTACTCGGTAGCATATCAAAGTGCATAGCTCTACAAATAGAATGTGTAAAAATAGCATCTTTAAAAGTTAGAGAAAAGCCATTAATTACTGTTATTGAATGTAGAATTTAATATGCAACCTGAGCATGGAGAAATAAGTGTGTTAAAATGAAATTAATAAGATTTGAAAGGATTGAAGAACAACTTAATATAATTGAGAGAATAAAGCTGGTTGATAAAAATTTGAAAATATGCATAAATAAGATGAGTGAAAAGAAACTATCATGAAAGAAGTAGGAATAAAAAAATAAAAAATAAAAATGATAATATAATTCTAAATTATATAAAATGATTTATGTGGTAGCAATATCAATAATTGGAAAGACGAATTCATATAGTCCAAAAATAATTAAAGATAAGGCTAACAAATGGTGATTTCTCAAGTGAGTCACTCAGTGCTCAGTAGCTGACCAGTAATTAAGGACTGTTTAATGATTTTGGTTTCTAAATTACAGATTTGAATGCATTTATGATGCACAAACATACTGCAGAGTCTAAATTTCAGAATTCAGTACATCCAATGAATTAATTGGCTTTTCTATCAACCAAGGATTGTTCAACGCTCCTTCACTTGACCTAAAAATTAGAATTTAAAAAGAAATACTGTTGGTTATTAATTAATTCCTCGTTAATATTATTAAAATATCACACGTACGTACATTTTTTAAAGAAATTTCAAGTCTTAATTAGAAATAGAAAATAAATTGAAGATAAAAAAAATTGATATACATGAGAAACCTAATACATGGTCCATATCTTTCTAAGCTTTTCAACCCAAAAAAGTCTCCTTGATGCATTTTCTGAAGTGAAATATCTCAAATGAGTTTTTATTATAATCCACAGAGATTTTTTTTGGTTGGATCAGATGGCCTACACAACCTAATAATTTTTTTTCTTTTTTAAGAGATATCATAAAGCTCATATTATTCTTTTTAGAACTCCTAGTAATAATTATAAATATATTAGCAAATTCTGCATGGATAATAGAAATCTAATATTGAAGAGACTATTACCGGGACTAGAAGCGTCGAAAACCTGATTTCTTCCTTCAAAACTCCTTGTTATAAGAAGAGTTGACTCATCGTCTAAGAATAGAAAGAGAGAGATCACAAAGCTAAGTTCCTCCTAGTGCAACTATTTTTCTCCTCTCAGCTATATCACTACCCCTATCCTTTCTGATAACCCCCCCTGGTAGATCAAAGGTTTAAATAACTAATTTGGGCGACTTTCGGCTTCTCTCCTCCTCAAACTTCAGAAGAAACCAAGTCAACTTCAATATGTATTACATATATAGAAGCAAGCAAATGTAACTTCTTTCTGACCATGAACTACTTATACACTAAATTCTGCAGTCATTAATCGATCAGAATTGAGTCAGCAAACATTAATTAAAAGGCGTAAAAACGATAGTTATACTCAGACGAGCAAACAACTACATCCAGGTAAGCTTCAACATTCTATAAAGATCACTTTGTTTTACTTAACGGGGGTTTAACATTTAACTACAAGTTCAGATGATAAAGAATTAAGAAAATTGCGACCACCCTATCATCTTATAGATCGTAATACAGCTAACCTCTATATATTGTTACTGCTAATTATATTGAAAATCAATATAAAAAGAGAATATTGAAGTACATTGAAAATTTTAAAATAAATAATTAGTGTTGGAATAGTACTTCTCGTATCAGTTGAGTATTAGAAGTGAAATGCTGACTAAGTTGTTCAACAAATGACATAGAATATTCTCACAAGAAGAATAGATAAAATTAATATTAAAAAGTTAATAAATAAAAAAATAGATTAGAAGTAACAGATAGACAATACGTTATACAAAGAAATTTCTAAAGATAAGTGTACTAGTATCTTATTTGATAATCAGTAGGAAACACATATAAATGAAGTTAGTTTCATAAAGCTAATAACCCTTAATAAATATGATACGAAAAATAGTAATGATGATGACAAAACATTAATTATATTTATTTTAATAATAGTGGTATCAAATTAAGATTTCATTAAAATAAATATGTATCATGTTTTTTTTTTTTCATGTAGGTCAATTTGATCTGTTGGTTGAGAGTTTTGACTACCATTCAAAAAGTTTTAAGCTCGAAACTAACATATGTGATGAGTGTATGAATCTGACTTAAGTTTCATTTGGGACAGCTTTATTACTGCTTTTTGAGAGAAAGCTGGTTCAAGCAATAAAAAAATCATCCCAATCGAAATCTTAATTGACCTAAATGCCCCCAAAAAGAAATCTTTAACTTGTCATTGATGTAACTGAACAACAACAACATTTGACTACCAAACAATGTTTTGCTCATTCACACAAATTGAATATATATATTTTTAATAATTTTTTTATGAATTATATATGGATGGAGTGCGGTAAACGAGAAGATTGTGGGCCAACAATATCCATCCTTTTTTTATAACATGAACATTGGTTCGCGTATCAACAAAGTCAACCTATTCTTAATACTTTTCTTTTGTAACATTCTATATATTTTGTGAGAGAGAGAGAGAGACAAAGATAAGTCATATCATGCAAAAGATTTGATTTTTAATATGCAATACAAATTCATGTGTTGCAAATTTATTAATCTTGTCAGTGCAAGAATCACTTTTTACATACAAAAGCAGCCATAACGAATTCCTCTCAAATCTGTATATGAGAAATGCATCATAATCATGGCTTTTTTTAGAAGGCTATGTATCACATAAGCTGCATCATTTTACAGCATGGCAAGAAAGTGTTAAAAATATATTGAATTGATAGTATCTAAGTTATAGCTTATAAGAAGTAAATTGATATTTATAATGAATTGAATCTATGAGTTTAAGAAACAATGTTCATTTTCATAAAGAAAAATTTTTTTTTTAACCATGGGTTCCTCTTCCCAGTCTTTCGGGGAAAAAACATCATATGAGGAACTGTATAATCATAGAAAAGTCCATAAGTTGTACGAAATTTTCAATTTAAATTGGGGAATAATGTACAAAAAAATATAAAATAGTCAAATTTTATTTAATAACAATAATGATTGATTGTAGTACAAAAAATAGACTTTAATTTTCATAAAAACGTTTTGTAATTTTTACAAAAAAAAAAACATTATTTTTCATTAAATATCCCGACAACAACGATATAAAGTGTTTATCCTACTACGTGAGATCGGCAACATGAATCCTTTTTTCTCCATTGTGTACTATTAATAGTCAAATTCTCATTTAAATATAATAAAGAAAAATCATTTCTCATATTTTCTAATCAAAATTTTTTAGGCTTATCTCTATCTTTATTAATATGGATCAAATCTAATACATCTACTCTCCTAACATGGCCATCAGAAAGCCTCCATTTTTCATTAAATATCCCCCTCCTAATATATTTTAACGTAAGGAACAACTGCTACAATTTTTCTCCTAGTTTAGCTCTGTAGTCAAAAAGGGACATGCAACAGTAAAAGGCAATATAACCAAGTTAAAAACATGTCGTTTTTCTCAATAAATAAATGCCAGTGGCTTGTACTGTATATATCACAAGCCTTTAAGCCACAAAATTACAATAAGATCTTATGCTATGAAGGACTTAAGCTTCTTTTAAGTTCAGTTTTTTTCCTTGAACAAAGCATTCTCACAAGTGCACAAGCATTCTACTTAATTAGCTATAGAAATTTATCTCCCTACATTGATAAATTAACTCTTCCTCGATCCCCATCCTTTCCCTTTCACTTTCTGTGCGTGCATTAATTGTTCTAGATAATTATGCTCGAATTCTTTTTTCTATCTTTTTAGAACTTTTCAGGTGCACAGAAGCATCCAGCTCTAATAGAAAATGTCATGCCCTTCCAATCCTTTTATAGCTAGCTCTACATCTCCCATAACTAAGACCCCATCATATATAGCATGGTACAGTAAGCATAAATCCAAAACATACAAAAGGTAAAAATATAGTCAAATAGCTTACCGTATCACAAATCCCCGTAAATCAGAGAATATGTATATCTCAATTAATTCTCATATGCTCAGCTACAGCCTACCAGCAACCTATAATGCATATAAAAATAGTATGAATTCGTTTATAAAGAAGAATTAATCAAAAAAAGTTCATTAAAAAACAAAGCTAAGCCATGCAAGGATAACCACCCAAAGCCGAGAAGCTGATTAAAACACAGAGAAGCGGATTCAAGGATAGATGACTGACCTGCACTGGGAGCATTCATGGCTTTCATCTTCACGGATTAGACGGTCCATTTCCTTTAAGAAGATACAAGTCAGCCATCTTACTCTTCTCCTTTAACTCCTGAAAAACATCCATCGATCCAGGTTGAAACGCAGAGCATTTCGAACATATAAAATAAATAAATTAAGAGATATATATGTTAATAATAACACATTGAAGAGTGCTGTATTTACAATTGAAATAAAGGAGGATTCATGGAGGAGAAAGTGATCTAACTAGTTACATTCTTCTATTCATTCATTTCTTCCACAACAAATACTCCAACTCATAATTTAAGTAATAATCAGCACTAGTGCTCTTTTTCCAAAGCAAATAAACAGTAAGCAAGCAAACAAGCAAGAAAGAAAGAATTAATTGTCCCATCTAACGCTAGTCACATGTCGAGATCCAATGATGGAGAATTGATGATAAGCCCGTCTTTCCCTCCCCGGGACGAAGATGAAGAAGAAGACGACGGAACGCTGCCGCCGCCGCCGCCGCCACCAAGACGGAGCTCATGAGAGGGAAGAGAACCGCGTAGCTGAAGCTTAAGCAACCCTGCCGCTCCATCGGTATCATCTTCTGCATCACGCGGCGGCTCAAGATTAACGCCAAAGAGACGAACCCGCTTGGTCGCACCTGAGGCTTTGGCTTGGCCCACCGGAAAGGAGTCAAGCACCATGGGTATAGTAGGGCCGCGATCGGGCTGCGGGCCGGGCTGAGGGGAGCGGAAGTATAAATAGTTGGTAGCCAGACTACTCGGGGCGAAAAAGCGGCTGGTAGCCCATGGGACGGTGGACGAGCGGGGAAAGGGGAGATAAGGATGGTGTGAGGCGGTGGGGTGGTAAGCGAAGCGAGGGATGCGGAGAGAAGCGGGCGGGTCGTAGTGCGGGTCGGGCCGCCTTTTCCAATCAATGAAAAGTCGGTCTCTGGCAGCGTCGCCGACACCCCGGCCGAAGGAGACGGTGTCACCTGCATCGAGCCTCTTCTCCTTCACAAAACGGCTCCACCCTTTAGTCATGACGTAGCTTTGGCTTGAGTTCCAATAGGAGTACCGGAATCTCCATGGCTTGCCGTTGCGATCTTCGAAGTTGAGAAGAAGACCTTTGTCATGAGTAGAAGAGTCTAAGGGGAAATATTTCTCTGCGTGCTGTTTCGGTATCACCAGACGGTTCAGTTTACCGACGTCGCTTGGTGTGACGACTTTTTCGAACATATGCTCCTTTTCGACCGTAGCAGCCGCTGGTTCAGTTGTAGATGAAGGGGATGGTTCGGAACCGTCGGTCCAGTGGACAACGAAGGCAGAGGAGGAAGAGGGAGAAGTAGAGGAGACTGGTGGGAGAAACTGATGCTCCTCTTCTTCCACTTCTGCGAAGCACTTACTACTGTCTTTTCTTGCTTCGCTGATCTCCATATATGTTTAGATCTGTGAGGTAGAAGAAGGAATCAAAGAAGGCTACTTAATTCCGTGACTTGGCAGAAGAAGAAGACCTGAGAGAATTAGCCTGTTGATTCCACTTTGACCCCTGGAGAGAGAGAGAGAGAGAGAGAGAGAGAGAGAGAGGAAGAGGATTGATGGTTCAACGTACGACGTCACTCCTGCTCTCCACTGGCAACCAAGAACCTTCCCAGAAGAACAAAAGAGAAGAGATTCAGATCAGTGGTGAATTTGGCTTATAAGAAAGGATAGTGGGAAGAGAAGAGCAGAAGAGATAGATAGGGGATAGAGAGAGATATAAAGAGAGGTGGGGGGTAAGAAGAATAGCTTTATAACAGAAGAAGAGAAGGAGAAAGAGAGAGGAGATGTGGTATGGTGGGGCGGAGTGGGCGGGCCCATGAATTTTCTGGTTGGGTTCATGTGAACTTGTCCTGTTCATAATATTGGTTTTTATATATTGTGTGGGATGAGGCCGCCATGCGATTTTGATTTGGGATTATACTGATTTGTTGCAATGTGACGAAATACTAGACGAACAGCATAGTATCCATACGCAATGTATTTATTAATTAATTAAGTACGGTTTTTTTTTTTTTCGCTTTGACAGTATGACTTTAATTAGTTGTAGGCGATGCCTAATCTCTAGCTGACAAAACGTCTTCTTAAAGAAAATCAATGCCACATTTTTGTACATTATTGTTTTAAGAAAATAATTTAAAATATTATAAAGCTATGTTGCACTTGAAAAACATATTAAAGTTTTTCATAGAAACTATTTAATTTGCTAAAAAATAAATATAGGATAAAAAAAAATGTAGCCTAAAAAATATACTATATTTGGAATATTTAACTCGATTGGATGAGTTTCAATGGAATATAGCTAAATTTTTTTATTTGACTTGAAGTGAAATGATGATGTGGCTCGAAACATACAGAGGTAGTGATGATCGACGTACAACATATGGCAGTAGCATGCAGTGACAATGGTGATAGGCGTTGGAGGCAGCCATTAGGAGGCCGACTATGGCAGTGGGTGATAGCTGTCGGAGAAAGGCAACATCAATGTTGTCATCTTGCCATGAAAAATAATAATAACAAAAAAAAGAGAGTTTAGCAGTTTACAATACATAAAAAATGAACTGGGAAGAAAAAATAAATTTACTAAAATTTTACATTATTATTATCTTGACTATTAAAATCCTATTTTAATAAACTAAACTTGCCTACCAAGGCTTAGAGTGGTTAGTGGGCAAGCACGGTTGGGAACCCCCATATCTCGGGTTCGAATCCCCTCCACTGCAGCCTCTCACCTCTTCAGTGGGGCAAAGCAAATGTGAGCTCGATGCCGGTGGGTGGTCTGCTTAGGTTATATCGATGAATTAGTTACGACGTCAAACGCTCCCTTTTGAGTGGCTGCGAGTAGATACCTACGCTCCTAAAAATAAATAATAAAATAAAATAAACCAAACTGCTCATAGTCAATTTCTTTTAATTTCAATATAATTTAGCGTTGATAATTAATATTATTTTTAAAATAATATGATAATTACTTGAGTAGTACAGTAATGATGCCAATACGCACACAAAAAAAATAATAAAGAGAAATACTTTAGAAAATATTAAGCTGTTCAATGAACATTTTTCAGTCTTGTTTGGTCCTACTGCAGGGTGATATATTTATACTGAATTAAATCAATTGGTGCACTGCCTCATAATTCAATTGATCAATCTAATCTACTTTTTTAAAATCCATAGATTAGAAATATCGTTCTTGGCTTGTAGTTAGGTTATTTGACATTCAAAGCATGAGATTACAATTTGCACTGGCCAACAATTGGTTGCATAGAGGACAATTAATTTAAGACAAAAATGTGGAATTATAAGTTATAAAAAATTAGAACAAAATCAAGAGGGATAAAAAGATTCTGAAAATATATTCTTACATTCAACTAGAAGAAGTGACTATTCCAAGTTCAAAGATTTAATTATGGATTAAATCATGATGGTAATAAATTTTAAAATTATTTAAGTATTATAATAATGATGAAAAAAATGTGATGTATATATAATGAAATGTATCACATCCAAATGACACAATTTACAATGTTTAAATTCAAATAACTTTTATATTTAATTAAGAGGTGATATGCCTCAAAAAATAACACTTGAGCAGCTCGATGAGATGAATCCACAAGCCAAAGAATATTTGATTATGAGGGAGTGTTATAATTTTTTTGCTAAATTTATCAAAACATCACTCCCACCATACTATAAATATAGATCCTAATTTTTCACATTTTTCATATGAAAAGAGCTAAACTTGAGATTGAAGAAGATTTTAAGATCTGAAAAACTCTAGAGTTATACTCGAAATTCGATATTTATGATCATCATCAATCACCACCGTCATACAATTGCTGTTATCCAAATGTCAACATCTAACCGCCGCTACCTAGTTGTCGCAATCCATTAATTTCTTATCATACAATTAATGATGTTTGACCACCATCATCCAATCATTATCATATGACCGCCATTGTCTAACCACTATTGTCTGATCATCATAGTTCAACCACTATTGTATGATCATTGTTGTTCAAATAACATCAACAGTTCAGTGCTATCAACTCTTCAATACTTCTCTCATAATATATATGACAATTAAAGGAAACCAATCAAGTGTTCACAATTTTGTGATTCCATGTTCTCCAAATGTGGGGAAGAGTGGATTTCTATAACTTCAAGCATATTATAGCTTATTTCAACAGACTTAGGTCTCAAGATTTTTTCTTCTTTTGGGTTTTCATGTAAAAAGTTTAATGTCTTGTGCATTTCTTTTCTTTAAGATGTATGCATGTGCTAGATCTTCTTGTAATGCTTGGACGTAAATTTTTTTCTCTATCATTATGAATTTTCTAGCATACAACAATAAGAAAAAAAATTAAAAGTTATCATCAACTAAAAAAAAAATGCAAAGAAAAAAAAAAATTGAAATGATCAATATTTGAATGAATTAAACAATTCAATTAAACCTCCAGTGAGTTAGGGTTTGATGGTCAATTTTTAAAGTCCAGTATAATTTTGGCTGCATGTGATATTCAGAATGATTCGAGTTAGCTAATCCACCAATTCATGATTTGACCGGCCGATCCTATCCGATTTTTAAAACTCTTGAGAGAGAACGATTTCTCATCTTCCTACTTATCTCTTTCTTGCTCTTATTCTAATCATAAGATAGATTCCTAGGAAAAATTGGGATGTAATATAAAACAACTACCTATGTGACTTCCAAATGCACACCACATATCGTACCAGATTATACATTTTTTGAAGAGATCCTAAAAAAAATAATAGCTAAGTTCCTTTCATCCTCTCGTGATCTTCAGACCTTCCAACCCAACATGTCTTATTAATCATTTCAATTAAGAGCTAACAATAATTATATATATTTTTAATTATAAACCACTTGCTTTTGTTTGAAGATTTAAATCTGAAGACTTGGACATTGCACAGTTCCGGCCCTTTTTGGGGATTCTATCGGATTAAAAAACGATCTAAAATTTTGTAATTAACCCCTCACAAAATTCAAATTTATTCATCAAATACTATTAGAAATCTGAGCTATAACGTGAACAAATATTATTTTAAAATTCCTTTCCGAAAGCATGACTAAAAGTTTATTAGGATCCGTAGTAATCACCACATTTCATTAAAAATATGAGTTGAAACGGTTAAGAATTATTGTTAGCAATATTTTTATAATTAAAACAAACACAGCTAATGATTAATGTTTAATTAATGATTTATAGTTTAATGGCTGTGGAAGTTAGAGAGAAGGGGTGGCCCATTCCCACATAGGTTAAAGTAAACCATTTTTATGCTATGTATTAGGAGTGTAAAGGAGTTTAATCAAAGTCAATTTACTCTAAGATTGAGCTTGATTAATTAATTGAATTCGAGCTCGACCTTAATTTTACCAAGTTTGAGCAGTCTAAGAGCTGGCTCATTTATTGAAAGAAAAAATAATAAATAACCACTTAATATTAAGAGTTGTTTGTTAATATATTTTAAGCAAATTATAATAATATTTCCTAAACGAGCTGGCTTGCGAGCTAATGAGTTGAGTCGGGGCTAACTCCAGCTTAGTTCATTTGCTGAACTCGAGCTCGACTCACGAGTCAACTTGACTCACTTGCACTGCTACTATGTATAAAATATTAAAATTTTGGCCCCGTACATTCCTTTTAAATTGATGTATTTTAATATTTTATTTAATTGCTTCATACCTCCATTCACATAGTGTCAAATAAAGAAGACAAATATATTAAAATCCCTGTTTAGTGTTGGAGAAAAATGAGAAGAAAAAACAAGCTAAGAAATTAAATAATGCTAACGATATTATGTAGCTTAAGTTAAACATAATTAATAGAGTCATTCACTTCTTCTTAATGTCGACCACACAATTCTAAGAAGAGAGGGACAAAATCCAATTAAAAAAAAAAATGTTGGATCTCACCCAATATTAGCCAAGTAGCCTAGCTATCTTTTCTCCATGCGGCCATGGCCACTTGGTGGTCCATCCATCCATCGCCTCATAACTCCATGATATGATGCCTTGCATGCACATCCACCATATCATTCATGGCATCCTTGGATCATTTCTATTGTCCATAAGCTGGCCATACATTTAATTAATTATCCTGTTATAATGGAAAAACAGCACTCTTCTCAGCTACTCTTAACCCTCAATTTATGTGCGATGGTACAATGCCATGGTGACATCTGCTTGGATTTAAGCTGGCCATGGATGTCTTTAGACTATTAATTCTGAGAAAACAAAATATAGAATTGCATCAAGCTTTCCCACTGCAAGCCACCATGGGACACGTGGCATTTTTTTCTACGTGATTGGAGAGTGGAAGTATACGTGGCAATTGGGATAGCTGCCATTATGTTTACAAATTACAACCACCCTTGTCACTTTGTAAATGCGCTACTGTGCCTGAATCTGATGCGTAAAATTTCGTGTAGCCAATGAGGATCTGACTATTTTATTTTTTTATTTGAAATAGAGGGTTTTCTAGTCCATTGAGATACGTAGTCAATTGGCAAGCTCTATAAACTATCTGTAATTTTTTGGGGACATTTAAATCAATTAAGATAAATTCATATACATATTATATCTGTAAGACTTGAACTCAAGATCTCTTTATTGTTAGTCAAAGCTTCAAACTAAAAGCCAAAGGTGAGCTGTGCAAATTTTAAGTATTAAGTGTTTTTTTTTAACAAGATGCATTTTATTCCA